GCATTTAAAAATCGGACGCTTAACTTCTGTTCTTCCGAAAAAAGTGTGCTATTGGAAAGTTGAGTGGCCTCAATACAATACATTCGACTAAAGTTACCTGGCCAACTACACATGGCTTTGAAATCTGACACATTACTGCCAAGACGTGCCTCAAAACAAACAGTATTTGGGTGAGTTTCGGACGACGGACCTCAAGAAACAAAGAGCTTGTATCCCTGTAGAGAGTCAGACTTGCGCCTTTGTAGTTAAAGTCAAACCAGCCCCCTCTCCAAGAAACTTCCATTAGGCACTAAAACACGATCCCAGTGGCACAAACCTTTGAAGTCAGTGGCAGTGTACTTATGACTCAAGTCTCGCATACGTTCTTCGAAGCTAGGTACAAAGGATGACAACTAGATAAATACCAAATTCCACCCGGACCCTAAACAGAAGCAACCGAAGTGCAAACCAATACCGCTTCATAACAATGCTAGCATTTGCAGCCTTCGGCGCAAGCGCCAACTGCCAAAGTTTAGGGCTGTCAAGGCTTGAACTTGTCGACTTGGGATGTTGTTCCTGCTAAACTACGTAGCTGTTTGGACCTTCGGCGGTTGAAATTTCTAGAAGGTATGTCCTCGGCTCTCAAATCTTGTCGTCGAGTTGGCCACTTCTTGTGCAGCCGGATTTAACTTTAGTACGCAACCTTTCTGCAGAACTTCGGGGCTCGTCAACTGTAGTGCTGGCGTTGCGACTATACATACGCGATGAAGAACTATGCATCTTCATCTGAAATGGTGAAGGACGAAGTGAAACAAATTAACTACAGACCACGTCGCCGGACAAATTGATGTATGTAGCATCTCAACACTCAACTGCGTATCTGCATGATGCAACCGACTCTTAGCACTACTGTTGTACTGGAGCAGACGACTCTAACAGCTGCCATGCCCACTGAAGGTTCCGTTGAGGAAACCGCGTGAGGCTCCGTCAATTTCCAACGGCTTTTAACCCGAAAAAGCACAACCAATCCTACACACATCACCATGCTGCTACCGGTCGGTCTACGCGAAAATATACATACAACACTTTCCTGCTAGGACAGCACGCGCAGGCCAGAAACTGCGCAGGCGGATTAGATGCCAATGGTCTGTAGCACAGAAGCAACAGCAAGTCCCACGTAAGCAGCTTCTACAGCTCCCTGGAGCAACAACGACCCATGGCTTTCATGGGAGGACTCCTTCACAGAAGTTCGGAGGGAGCGTGGGCTCATGATTACCAGTATGTATCTGGACCCCAAATTGAGAATCTAGCAGCAGAATGCTTATCTCTGGGGGCAGCCTCAGGCAAAACCCCCGATTCCCAAAGGCGAAGAAGCTGCACGCGGAGCACGCCGCTTGTGCATGACGAAAAAACCGTTCAGGCGCAGGTTGTTGCAGCGGCGTTGTCTTGCCACTATGTCTTCAACCACCTACGCAATCTCTTCCTGATAGCTAAACAGACGAAGAAGGAAATACAGAAGAACTTTTTGATTCGAGATCTCTGCAACATAGTAGTAGGAAGTATTGGGCAAGACGCTCTGCACTGAAAGATGGTGCACCAGCTCAATTTCGCACCGTAGGGAATACCAAATACACTTAATGTTGAAACTACAAGAGTTTCACGAAGACGGCACGACATAGCACGCTTAGCTTGCCAATCGGATTCCCTGCAGGTGCTAATTGAGACTACGGTACGAAGGTGGTGGTTTCTGCAGCCGTTCGGTGAGTCTTGCTTGTCTTCTTAATATATAGTCGCCACACGAAGCGTCCAGCCGCTTTCGGTAGATGTGCAGAAAACCTACTGCGAAAAGGTCACACCGCACAGGGGTGGGCAAACGTTATCTTTAGATGAGGCACTGTCTTCCTGATACGTTCTGGGCTGCCAGCATTAACACTGCCGAAACCTCTACAACGTGAACAGGAACTGCCCCTGCTGTAGCGATTGCCTCTGCAGCTTTTAGTAAAAGCTGCAGTGCGAACTTCCCTTCAGGAGCTCGCCCAAAAGAAAGAAGCCATGCAAGAAATCACGCTTGCAGCACGTGCAACTCAAGCTCTGTCAGCAGGGCCCTCGCCCTCTGTCACAGGATTGCGGTTCTTACAGCAAAACAATCATGTACAAACACTAAACCAAACTTGACCCTCTGTTGATACTGGAATGATCACTTTATTTAAGTCTCGCGAAAACTCCAAAAATCATTCCGACAACTACTACGCTCGCAGTGCCGCCTTCCTGCGATGCTTGCCAGCAACCCTCTTTCACAAAACATCTCACAATCAACCTGGAGCATCTTGTTTCAACGCCTACCGCTTTGAAACCCAAACATGACATCTTCGGTCTTCTTGGTGCCCCAAAGTTAGATGTAAATAGCACCCTTCTGCGTGCGAAGCGCTGGCGAGAGCTTCTGAGCAAAAACCGTATCATGAGGAAAACACAGACAGGCGACCCTGACGGCAACCTTTGGAAAGAGTGATTTTCACAATAACATCGGCTATGGTCGTGGCAACGGTTGCTAAAGGCCTAATCCCACTCCAAAGCCTACCCCTTCGTACTGCTGCAGAGAACCTTGCATGTAAACTACCCTACTCTGGTTTAGAAACAGTTGCCCACCAGGTCGTCCTTACAAACTTGGCACCCGGCAACCACTCAAGAATGCCATCACAAAAACCATTGCCGAAGACTCCGTGATGGCAGGGCCTTACACAACTCATCTGCTGTCTAGGTATGCATGACGAAAATTTACCCCTCAACTACTATGGAAACAAAAGGAAAATCACCAAGAAATCGCAGAAAAAACGGTATTTTATGTAGTAGCTGCTACAAGGTCATTAAGGAGTTGCAGTGGCCATGTCGCCTAGCTTTTTTCACTACAACATGTCTACAAATCCACAAGGAGGTCGCAAGCTTCCAAATGCAGACCAGATACGTCACCCCGAAGACTTCTCTTTCTGGTAGATCTCCTTTATCCAGTCGTGCGGGCATGCCTGCCCACCTGCCTCATGGAAACAAGCCCACAGGAATCCGGCACACAAAGCGAAGGCTTCCAGCTCTCCATGGCGAGTCCATGTTCTCGTGCGCTTGTTGCAGCTCCACTTCAAGTCCCAGCGGTTGTCGATGCTGCGCTTCTTCGCGGTGCTACCTGGCGGCAGAAAAGACAAGGCCTCGGATTCGGACAGCTTCTGCGCACGAACCACAGCTGGGTACAAACGCAAGCCATTGGAAATGAGCTTCTGTCCACCCACACCACCCTTGTCCTGAGCACACAGGCGCTTCACAGCCCTTTTGCCTTCCCGCTCCCTGTAAGATTTCAGGCTCTCCGAGAATGCTTGTCTGGCGGGCTTTCTCTGCAGCTCCAGATGCTCGTCCAAATGCTTCAGCTCCGTTTCCCCGAATGCATCACGAACCTCTTGAGATTCTAACAGCTCCGAGTAGCTGTCCACCCCAAGGCTGCTACGCATGTCCAAAATGAACGTCAGCTCATCAGGCGACTCTTTCGGAAGGAACTTCTGCAAAAGCTTCAGGGTGACGTCGAAGTGACTGCAACTAACGCACTCCACTGCGTATTCCTTGCACAACTCACGCAAGCTTGACTGTGGCATCGGCAGAAAGCACTGTCTCGCAGACGCTTCCAGCACACTGATGGGGTTCTTGTCAAGCAGGTGAAGAGTTACACCACTTACACAGTGGGCCGGTTGACTTG